TTTTAAATCCATACTCAAGAAACACAGTCCTCTCCTGGGATAATTATCCACTTCAACCCACATTTACTACAAATATAATAATAATAGCACATCAGTAAAGGAGAGAGGGGTGGATAGCAAACACATGACAATTCCTCTTGGGAAATCCTGTGAGAGGTTAGGTTATTTTTTTTTTTATCTATGTTTGCAGTTTGTAGTCTGCTAGTCTACGTCGCAAGTCTGAAAGTCCAAAATCGCAAGGTTTGTCCATCACATGAAAGGTTTGTAAAATGAGAAGACAGGTTTTGGTTTGATTCTTCACTCACCAAGCTGCACATTTATGAATTCACTAATATTCTTTGGCTACATATACCAAGAACAGAACCAGTTCCAAAGAACTTAAGCCAGAAAAAAAAAAAAAATCAACTGAAATAATAGAGAAATAATTACAGAACCTAAAGTAAGAAATTCTGCCACCGTTGGAACACAAATTGAGACCCTTCATTCTCTCCATTTAGTGTTTGTCGCTCTGTGGGTAGCCACTCCAATGTTCTCCCTCCCTGAACAGTTTTCTTTGCTTCCCTGATCCGTATGGTGAAATACAGCCAGCTCTTAGCTCCTTCGGTTACTTACAGTCTCTTCTACATTTAGAAAGTGCCTTGCCAGCTCTGATTCTAAATTCTAGCTGCAGCTAAACCAGTGTCCAGTTCCACTTTTGCTTGTGATACCCAGCGAAGAAAGAACATCCACAACAGTATGGATGCCAGTGATGGATAGAGTCAAGGCTGATAACATGGAAAAATAGCTCAAATTCAATATTATATTTTAATCCACATGCCTAGTTTGTGGCTAAACAAAAATTAGAACCAGAAAGAAATGAAGCAAGGAAGTAAGAGAGAGAAGAAAGGATGGGAAATGGGTGTTCTCAGCCTCACTTTATGTACCCTGATTTTATGAGTGTTCTGGAACTTTCTTCTACTTTGATCAAATCATTGCTTGCTTCTTGTTTCAGGTTAAACAGTGTCCTGCTGGTCTGAAAGACCACCTGCACATAATTGCTAGTGTTACCCTCTCTGGGTCCCATTTCTCCAATATCAAATGTAAATGTTATAGAATTGTGAATTTTCTCCTTAATCCACCCTCTTAAAAGAAGCATAGGCTTATCTTTTCCCAAATAGCTGTTTCTTATTCTTGTAGATTCCTGTAGGTATAAGCTAAAGCTTCCTGCTTATGAGGCATGTTTGTCATAAACCAGCATTGAGTGTGGAACTGGCTTTTGTAACCTTCTGTCTGTTTCTGCTATGGGGATTATATAAACATGAAGGAATTTTATGATGACTTGAAATTGACTACCCCCTCCATCTCTGAGCGCTTCCGGAGCACCTCCCCAACTGTTTAAAAAGTTGTTGAACCATTAACTGCTGCTGAGACTGCGCTGAGCTCCCTTTGAAATGGGAGTCTCTGAGCTGCAGCACATAATATTAATGAGCAATAAGTGACTGCCTGCTGCTTCCTCACCAGACCCTTCTGGGCTCTGACAAGGGCTGCCGCTGCCTCTGTGCAGCCTCCTGGCCCATTCGGCCTGCAGCATGAAGGCTTGCCAGCCCCTCCCGCACACTGTCTGGACAGCGTCTCTCCACCAGCCTTCTCTGAGAGTGTGGAGGTTGCAGAGGTGCTTGGCCTTTGTTAGCGCTCTCTGCTGCAGTGGCTCTGGTGCTCTTTAACCATCTGGCCCATTCTACAGATGAGCAAAAGAGACAGAATATAAACCCCACAAAATAGGGCAGAACTAGGGATGAACAAAGCTTATGGTTAATGAAAAGAACAACTTGATTACTATAAGAAAATGCAGTCTTTATAGTTATGCTTTTTAATTTCAGTGCAAGTAAGTGGCTGGTTTTCCATTCACTAACAAGCAATACACTGAGACTCGGTTTGTGGTGCATTATAAAGGCCTAAACAGAGTTCTGCCCTCCAGGTCATGTGACTGAACATCATGGCCTTGAGGCTTCACTCCTTGAAGGAAGCATGACAACAGAAATAGACATGACACTCACCGGATTGTCTCCACCACACACTAGGCATCACTGCATAAATGTTTATATGCACACATTAAATCCTCTCAGCTTGTTTCAAAGGCAGGGATTGAAGCTGAGTAGTTAAAAGACCTGACCAAGATCTCACAGCTATAAATGGAAGAACAAGGGTCTCACTCAGTGGGGCTGACTCCAAAGCCCATGTTCTTTATCCGGGAACAACCCCCTCTGTGCAATATTTTAGTGCCACAGGGAGCTCAGGAAGGTCATGGTCTAACTCTCACCACAGAGTAGAACTAGGCTAGTATAAACTTCTCTCCAGATTTAATAATGTCCTTGACTGCTTCCTGTAAACCAGCTAACTTGACCGTCAGCTAGCAGGATTGCCTCAAATGTAGAAAGAGTTTACTTTTCAATTTCGAAAGCCAGTTGTAAATGTATAAGATTTGAACTTGTGCAGCAGTATTTTTCAAAGTCTGCTTCAGGGACCCACAACATCAGTGTGCCCACGATGTTTATTTTCAATATAACACTTACCTCCACTCAGACTTAGACTGAATCCCTAGGAATAGGTTCGAATAATCTGCACTTTCAAGAAGCACACAGGTGTTTCTTCTGCATGCTGAAGATTGATGGTCATTAGGGTTGCATCTGGAAGTTGCAGGAGCTTTGCACATCATCAATTCAATGGCAGGTGATTGTAGGAAGCTTTCAAAGACTGTCTGCATTCAATAGCTATTTGACAGAGAATTGTAATGTGCAAGAAGCATTCCTAAATTGTTGTAGCTTTCTATGTGAGCCAGCTGGTTAAGAAATCTTGAATAATTTCCCAAAGGACTCTGGTTAAGTGGACGCTCATACACTCTACCTTTGAAGATATAGAAAAGGAAGTTTTCCACCCTGAACTCAAAGTAAATCTTTCAGAATGAGGTTCAGATTGTGTTTATGTTGCTTACAATTCCAAGACCATAATATGGACTGCATGGGTTCCCATAATCCTGCGGTGCGCATCTCTCTATAATTACCTTTAAACACACAGACCCACTGCTAGCTATATAGACCCTGCGCTATCTTGACTTCTTTCAATGCATCAAGTACCACGATGTGTTTGCCTGTGATCCTAGACTTATATCTCTGTTCCTCCGGTGTCTACCAAGTGTCTGCTCTTCCTTTAGAAGTCAGAGTCACTGTCACTTCCTCAATAAAGTCTTTTTCCTGGCTGCTACAAGAAGTTGGGACACACTATTAACTACCCCTGCAAAGCCACCATTCCATGGCTCTCACCACAGTTTTCCCGTCTGCTTTTGACAGTGTGGCATCTTTATTCTCATCTGTCTTCAAACATAGACTATAAACAAGAACCATAACTGTTTTGTGCATTCTGGTGTCTAGCTGAGGGCATGCTACATAGTAAACATGCAATTAATCATGGAGTATCATGAATGAAAAAAAAATTAATTCATAATGTTGGAGAGAAAGTCTTGATTCTCGATGTTCAACTTAACATTCATTCTGTAGACACATGATTTTCATTTCTCTCCTCCTTTCAATAGCAACAAAGATGGGTAGGTTGGAAAGTCTGAGCCCTCAAAGGCCTTTATGAATTCTAGATTCTTTTAGCATGCCAACGGCTTTATTCTGATGCTATTCTTAAATAGCTCAGAGTATGGCTATACAGCCATAAGCTGTTGAAAGGAAAGTTCACGAAAGAATGGAAATTTCTGATTTTGAAAAAAACAACAAGGTAATTATTCATCTCTTTTTTACTTCAAAGGCCAAATTGGATTCTTATTACTTACCAGGAGTATCCAGCATGATGGGCTTAACTGGTGATAAGATGAGTTTTATTTCATTGCATTTTAACATCAACATGCTTCCTTTTTTTTCTTACATCAACATTTTTAATGTATGATACAGCAACTATATGCTGGATGAACTATCCTGCGTATCTTCCTTAGTATTGTTCTCACTAAGCACATATCTCACTCATCACAGTAACATGATAACGGGGACATTTGTTTAATTTTGACATGATGGATTTGAAATTCTCCTAAATTAGAAGTATCTTAAAAGCTGGAATTATTCACATCATAAGAACTATATAGCATTTAGCAAACTGTGGATTTAAAAAAATTATTATTAAAACACCATCTTCTGAGTATTAGCTCAAAAACTTACATCTACTTGAGACGTAAATGTCTAGAAAACCAATTATAATATGCATGCTCTCTCGCGGAGTTTTAAAATGCCTCATGTGGGCTAAGTGTCAAAGCCCTCCAAACCTCTTTCTTGATTAAGCATAGGTTTCATCTCATTCCCAGACTGGGAAAGAATTCGAGGGACACTGGAGATTTTAGTGGATTTGAGTGTCAAGAAAAACAGATCGTTGTGCATTGTACCTCACAAGTTGGTTATACTTTCTGAACGTTATCACCTTTCAAAGTTTAAATCTAATATTCATGTCATACCAACCTGCAGGAAATGATGGACCATGATATTAGCTGACAGCTATGCTCTCTGCCTACAGCATCCTTAATACTTTTATACAAATTATTACTCAGGCTACACCACCAGTGAGCTGATACTACCAGAAGCCCATTCTACAAATGAGAAAACTGAGACAGGAGTGTGTGGCAGCTATCCTGTAATTAAGCTGTTTTATAAGCAGGATTCTGACCCAGGCAGCCCGTCTATGAAGCATCCACTCGTAAATATTATACCAGACTACCTCCCATATTACCTTACTTAAAAACAGTAAATGCAAAAGCTAGCCTTGCTTTCCTTATTCTCTTCCTCTTTCCTTTAGAAGTTGGGAACGGGAGTTATTTTGTTCTAAAGAGACGCTGAAAGGGAGCCTGCTTTTATTCCGAACATCTTTTTCCAAAGCCATTTACTTTATCTGGGACCGGAGAGGCCACTGATTCAGAAGCCAGAGCACTAATGAGCTTCCTTCTTTGTCTCCCTCCCTGTGTCTCCACTCTGCAGCTAATAGCCAAGATACCGACCATCACAGCCGTGTGCAACTTGCATGGGGAGAAGCTGCAGGTATTTAAGCAGTCTCATCCAGACATAGTGAATACACTGTTTCCTCCGTTATACAAGGAGCTCTTTAATCCTGACTGTGCCGCTGTGTGCAAATGAAGGGGACCAGAGAACTGTCTCATAGTCATGGAATGCGTCACCATGAAGACAAAAGCAATGTGTTCATGGAGACTTAAGAAAAATGTCACTACTGCAACATTAGGAATGTCCTGCACTTAATAGAATTATTTTTCACCGCTACAGTTTGAAGAATGTAAATATGCACCTGAGTGGGGCTCTTTTGTTTGTTTGTTTTTGAAATGACCATAAATATACAAATATAGGACACTGGGTGTTATCTTTTTTTAATTTTATTCGGGTATGTTTTGAAGACAACTGTTTATAGAATTTTATTGTAGATATATACAAGAACAGAGCAGTACTTTACATGATTACTTTTACTGTTGATTGTTCAAATATAATTTAAGAAAATTCTACTTAATAGGCTTATCTATTTCTATGTTTTTAGATAGTTGATGCATGTGTAAATTTGTAGCTGTCTTGGAAAGTACTGTGCACGTATGTAATAAGTATATAATATATGAGGATATTATATATGACTATTACGTATACATGCACACGCACTGTGGCTTAAAACACCATACCTACGAGCAATGGAGGTTCAGTCAGGCGCTCTGATATTATTTAATTTCTGTGTTATATGTTATTTTTATGTTAGACAATCAGGGTTTTGTTTTTTCCAGCCAGAATTTTCATCTGTAGTCAATGGCAGGATGGTACCAATTGAGAAATAAGCCTACAGCGGAATCAATATGATGCATGACCTTTATATAAAAAATGCTATTTCTATCAATGATATCAAAGCCTTGTCAGGATGGTACACACTTGGGGGGAGGGGTGGGCATTGGGAGCCATTTTCCTGTTTTAAAAATTGAGCTGCAGATAATATTGTAAGAGCCAAGACTTTTTTTTTTTTTTTTTGACCAATTATATGTATGCTATTTTTCACCCAAGCACAATACACACTTTTCTTCTTTGGATTTGGATTTCCAATCATGAGAAAAGCTTGACTTTGGTGCTCATTGTTGTCAACCAAAAAATACAGTCCTGTGGATTGTGACCACCAGCATTTTTTTCTAGTAAAATTAGCATGACACATCAGAATCCAGGGTCCCAGTGCTATGTTATGTAAATGTTTTCTCTATAATCATGTTTTGGCAATGAAGAGGCAGAAATAGAACATGTAAAATAAAGAGATAATTTTTATATTTGCATTATACATTTGTTAGAAAAAGTTGTCAGTAAAAATAGGAGAGGCAGGACTTTTCTGTGTCCTTCTCATCTGGACTCAGTGGTTGGTTTTGATTCCAAAATACTGTATTATAAAAAGATAGTGAAAAACTGAACAGATTGGAAAATAACACATGTATATTCTATGGACTTAATATATCCCCGTGCCAAAACCTATGGGATTTGAAATTACATTGTCCATCCACTGTAAAACTGGTTTTAGCAACTTGTAAAAGTACAGAGTTCATTGGTGACATCAAAATCAGAAAATGTGGACTTTTTTATACAAGTTCTTCCTTCTCCACCAGCTCTCTGGTATACTTAAGCATCAGAAAAGCCTAGATTTCACGGCATGTGTTCTGCCTACTTCCTGGAGGCTTATGCCTGTGGAATTATATGATCCAAAGGAAGATGTTTAAAAAGGAAGTTAGGGGAGGTGTTTGTGTATAAGACAATAAATTATGTTCTTGTGTATGTAGTGCCCAGCCCCCAACTCATCTAAAGATCTGCCATTTTCCCCTTGTCAAAACACACACACACACACACACACACACACACACGCTTCATAAATTTCCATCAATGGAAATCTTGTTTTTTTTTCCTATCCTATGCTTTCCTGAAGTTCCCGGTTGAGCGTCAACTCCAAGATGCCTCAGAACTCCTGACTGATGATCAAAACAGTAGTCGTTTCCTTTTAGACAATAGAGCCTTTTCTCACCTCATGATTGATGAATTCCAAATCACTGGGGAAAAACAAAAAGGCTTTAAAATAATGAATCTCTTTCTCAACTACTGTTATATTCAATTAATTTAACTACATTGAACCAAATTACCTTTGGTTCTAAGAAGACAGCTGTAGACTGCTTATTATGCTGCTACAGGGACTCGATTCTTTTTGGTGTAAATGTCACTCCTGCTAGCTCTTTGTATAAAGAATTAATTCCAAGAGTCATATTTCCTTCTAATGGAAAGATTACTTTACTGATTGCTAGGAAAACAGGGTAATGGAAGGCACTCAATTAAACCAAGCTGTTTCCAAATGCAATGTATGTTTTATGATTGGCTTGTGATAGGCAGTGCTTAATGTGTCTACTTGGTGTTTCCCTTTGAGCTTTGAACTTACGCCCAACTTTGTTTTCATTGTTCTGTTGGCCTAGTGTTTCCCATTGCCAGCCTTTAACTCCTGCTTGGCTGCAAAGGGAATCATTTGTGGCCTCCAGTTTACCTTGGAGGATTTAAATTGACTCAACTGATGAAGGAGCAGAGGATTTTTTTCCTCCTTCATCCCATGGGCAGTGTAGGGAAAAGATTGTTCCCCACACTTGCCTCAGGAGGTACTGACTTTGAATCTGTGTCATTTCCACTAGTGCAAGTATTTCACTGGGACAGCATGAACCTTTTGAAGCTAGGGGACAGGTAATAGAACTGGCAACTGAGCCAGACCAACATGGTGGGAACCAGTATGCTGTTCAGCCACTTGAATTGAGAAAGAAATTTCTAGTTTTGGCTAATGTTGCCAAATTTTCAAATCAAGTTTTTCAAGGTAACAAAGCCTTTAAAAAAAAAAAAAAAAAAAACTGTGCTTTGAACATTCCCTCCAACAACATGTCAAGGTGTTTTGAAATTTTGATAAGAACAACTTTCTTTCCAGCAATGCGGCCCCAGAAATTAATTCCTTCCCTCCCCGCCAAGAGCTAGCAAATGTTCGCAACACATTCATGGAAAGGTGTGCACTGGAAGAAGGAATCCACGTTCTGTGCATCTCGCTTCATGCTTTGTAAATGACAATCACTGCTTAATGCAGATGTTGCACTGTATCCGCTCAGGGATATTTCATTTTAAAAAGAGAGAGAGAGAGAGAGAGAGAGAGAGATGTCAAGAAGGAGAAAAAAACAGGAAAATGACAACAAAATGTAAATGGCATGAATTAAAGATGCCATTGAGAGAACCTCTCTGACAAGGCTTTCAGACCAGTGTATAATTTCACATCCCAAACTGAATCTAATAACCTAAAAGTTAGACATGCATAAGAACAACTTGGTTTCATTTTCTAAAATCTGCTAAGAGCCAAATAATCTAGCTGCCCCATTTACAGGTAGGCATATCTAACTCCCAGCAAATCCAAGTTTCCTATACAAGTCCTGAGCAAGGAAAACACAGAAATCTAACTGGAATTCAGTGAAACTGATGAGGACGTGAAGCCCGGTGAATTCACATCAAAATACACCTGTGGTCTGTAAAAAGAAGGGCAAAAGCTGGGGTGGGAAATAGGAGAATGAAAGGATTCTAAGTCTAGTCTGACGTCCCACGTAAGGCCCTGCTTTCTGTGACCTGGTTCATCTTGTATCCCTTTTTTCTGTCCTTGTTCTGTGGTTCTTTTATCCCTAAACTAAAAGCAGAGGTTAGAATTTATTTAAAAAAAAAAAATCCTTCCTGGATTTCCCTTGTTTTAACACTGTGTTTGGAGCTTTGGGTTAAAGAACGTGTAAGTAAAATAGAAAATGCAGTGGCCTCTTGGATAATTAGATTCCTTTGGTAGAATCTAAGAGACCCTGAATTGTAAGAGTCTAGATACAAACAAGAGATGCCAGGTAGAAAACAGATCATTCCCATCCTGCCTGGCTTCTTCAGCATGTAGCTTTCTAGCACTCAAGCCAAACGGGAGAAAAATAGGAAGATGGAGAGCCCGCTCTTCCTCACTACAACACTTTGTACCAGGCTTGAATGCAAAAACCATTCTTGTGTCCCAAGGACAATCTAAAACTTGCCAGTGTGTTTTCAAACACACCAGTTAGATGCAAATGTCAATGTCGTTCTATTGTCTTTGTTTCTGCTTATTATAGAAGTGAGGAAAATTTCTACTGCATTTGAGGTTAGAAGAACATAGTTTCTGCCTGACGCTTTTTTTTTTCCTCTATAAAGTTTTGTTTCCAATGAAGTTACCACAATGGATAGTGAATTTCTGGCAAGGGGGGCTGTGCTCCAGCAGAAGCACCATTTAACAGGACAGCAACACTGTACTGTGTGCGTCTGGAGTGGGCCCTTGTAAAGGACAGGGAAAACCCACCGTCTGCTCCAGATAAGGTGTTAGTTAATATTCTGTTTGCAAATGCTGGCCCAAGTGGCAACCAGAGTGAAGGCCTGACACGGGAGCCCATGGGGTCTTTCAGGACTGAGTTAACAAGATTTTAGGGTGAGGCAGCCTCAGGACCAGAGGTTATGTTCATTTAAAGCTGAGAGTAAAATTTGAAAACAGTAAGAGGGCCAGGGCGTGGTGCAGAGGAGCGAGGCAGCCTGGTGGTAGCTGGCCAGGCAAGGCCCCACCTAGAGTGGGGCAGCACCGCTTGGCTGAAGCTTCATTGCTTGAGTGAGCTTCTGAATTTCATAAACTCTCTCAAGTCATAAATGGCAGCTGGTGATTCGGAGCTTCACGCAGACCAAACTCATCTCTGAACAGAAGGGGAACTCCTGGACTGCCAACTCCCAACCTCTGGCTTTAATCAAAACTCTCACTTAGGATCCCGCTCAGCTAGAGCAAGTCTAGCCAGAGTCAACCAGAAATGGCATGATTGGAATTATACTAAGCTGGAGGAGAGGAAAGAGCAAACTTGCCCTTCCGCTTCTCATTGTAGTTTCCATATTTAATGATCACGACTCAGAGCTATAGGAGGTCAGCTGAACAACGTAGCAGTCTGTAAATGAGGAGTTCAATAATGTAGTTGGTGGTTTACAAGGGGTACTTCCATTTGTCTTGCCTGAACTCCCATCATCACAGAGACAGGAAGTTAGAACTCTTGCCACTTCTCTCTGAAGTCAGGTGCACAGCTTACGTGTTTCTGAGTCTCAACATCTGTCTTTAAATATGTGGCTTCGCTGCCTGTGACAAGTTCTCACCCTCCCTTAGTTGTGTATCTGAAGAATCTATTCTGCCATCCTGGTAGCGTAGGCCTCCCTGGTTCCCAAGTGCAGACCATGGGTTCCTACGCAGCACATAGATGGGGCTTGTCTGTGTGTGCACTGTTTTCCTAAGCTGCTGA